TTACATCTGGTCCTGATAAAACAAGTCACCCTAATTACTCCTATGCATGTTACACTCAGGAAAAAAGAACAAGATGGTGGGCTTGTAAACATGGGAGTGGCCAGCACAACCTCCAGACTTAAACCCCATGAAGCTGGTCAGGGTTAGGGTTTTTGCACAAATATAACACACACACATATATATATACATATATATATATATATATATATATATATATATATATATATATATATATATATATATATATATATATATTAGGGCCCGACCGATATGCTTTTTAGGGGGCCGATACCGATATAAAACTTTTAACAAAGGCCGATAGCCGATATAATGGCCGATAAATCTCCCTCACAAAAAAATAAATACAAATGTTCTTAAGACTAAACCCTTCATTCTCTGCCTTTTTGATGCAAACTTATTTCTCTATTACACACCAAAGAACTGTCTCAATAACTCACTAGGGTTTCCAAGTAATGCAAATAAGATTTATTTTGCAATCTCAAAAACAACAGAACACACAAACTACTACTGAAGATGAGCAGATGCTGCAGATGACATCACCGGATGGATCTTTAATGAAGTAGTCCCACACCTTACTACGACCCTCTTTTTCCCTCTGTAATAAAATAATCAGCATAAAAGTACATTTATATATCTGTTGATACTAAGGCAAAGTAAAATACATTAAATGTGGCATTTTTATACTAAAAAGTTTAAAAATTATCATGTAAATAAATGATATCAGACATTGTGGCTCAAAACCAATGGCTCTGTTTTTGTTTGGTTCCCCAGCTGTTAAGGTTTTCTCATTTAGTATTCGTCTTCCGTTTGTTGTCAGGTTTTTTTTTCTAGTTATTCTTCTTTCCCTTTTAGGATTCTTTCTTCTTTAAAATTATTTTCATTTATAGTTCCTCCTATGTTCTCCTGCTGTCCTCTGTTCCCACTCACAGCTCCTCCTCATAACTAGTCCTCTGTCATCTCTCACTCCTCAGTGCATACGGTTCCGTTTCAGTCATACTCTGCTGGTTTCAGCATCCTAGCTACCTGATTTTTGGCATTAAAATACTTTTGAGTTTTACACGTTTGTGTTTTGATCCTTTCCAAAGCCGACAGTATTAGGAAAATAAAAATAAGATACGTTAAATTAGTATGTGGCAATGTATAAGCCTTATGTAAAATATAAGGCTGAAAAATACAATAGATTTATTCTACTGTAGAGAGGAATGTTTATTTTCTCGTATTACCGCCCCTACCCCTCTCCCAGCTGGGAGGGGGGACTCCCTGCATAGCGTTTCATAGCTTTGTTGCCATCCCCCCTCGCCCGTCCTCAGCTGCGACAACGGTCGTGTGCCGCCGAAGCGCCGCTAAACGGGGACTCCTTCATTCGTCGCCCTTGTTATCCTATTCTGTAGGCCACATGGGCCGCCGAAGCGCTGCACGCTCCGCCCGCACCGTGCAGCGAGTTTCGGCGTCTGCACTATTTTTTTCGCAAGCCGCGGGTGAACCGCGTGAGTTTGAAAAGACTGCTGAAGAAGAGCGGAGGAAATTGTCTGAGAATATTCCAGAATGTCTACCAGAAAAAGGCCAATGTTACTTACTTACTGCCCTGCATGACTAAAGGGGAAGCAGCGTGAACTCTGCATAGAGCTTAATGCTGCGGCAGTATTTAATTTTTTCAGGTAAACTTTTCAATACGAGGCCACGAGGCACACAATAAACTTAGGAAGCATGTTGAGGGGAAACATACTTTTGTCATTGCTTATTTTACCATTCAACTTACCACTGACATAAAAAATATGCTTAAAACTGAAGACTTACCTCCTACTTCCTCATCACCGTCTATCGCTGCTTGACTGCTGCTCCGCTGCATGTGTGCTGTGATGGTGGCTCCACCTCCCGAGGAGTGGAGCCCACAACATGAGTTCATAAAGCTGGCGCCATCTGCTGGATAGGTAGCGCTATATCGGCCATATCTGCCGTCTTTTTGGCCGATGACCGGCTCATTTCTGGTGAAAGTTGGACTCCGCCAAGGCTGCCCTTTGTCACTGACTCTGTTCACAACTTTTATGGACAGGATTTCTAGGCACAGCCAATGTCATGGTCTGGGGTGTCCTCCTCTCTCTGCTAAACCTTCTCTGAGCTTCTCCTGCAGGTGGGCGTGTCAAGGAGTGGACCAGCTGCTGTCCATCTGCTCATCAGTTGGCCAGGGACATATAAACTGCTGGGAGACATCTTCATTCGCTGGATGATTAGCTCAACTTGGGTGCCAAAGACTACATTTCCTGGACTTTTTAAAGTAGCGGTGCATACCTTAACCATGTTTGGATCTACATACAGTTGTGAATCAGCCTTCTCCACTGTTAACATGATTAAAAACAAACTTCCCTCACAGCTGACTAATGAATCGGGCTGGGGGTAAACGATTACTCTGACGATTATTTTGTCGAATAGTCGACTATTCTAATGACTATTTAGACAATTAATCTAATGATTATTTTTCTATTGCACAATTAACAAAAAAATCTCTAATAAATTCCTCAAAAAAATTGATAAATTGTTACTGTAAGAGAATAAACATACAGGCCTTCCATTTTGTATAACACTGCTTTTATTGTGTTGGTTGGTTATGTTCTGGTGACGTGTAGAACTTGGGAGAGCAGGCTGCCTCCTGAGAGGTGGTTGGAGACGGAGTGTCTCCATGCTGCTTTGTTTTGGTCACTTATGTGCGAGAGGCGAGTGGTGTTACGACCCTTCCTGGGGAGTTTGGCTCGTGTGCAAAAAGGAAGGGACAATAACGGGATTTAAAAGTTAAAATGATGATCAGGATTATTTACAACTACAAAAAAACATAAACCTTTCCATCCACAGGTTGGGAATAATAAAACTAATTCTGCCTGTGGGGAATTAAAACAAAAGTACAAATAAGTAGGGATGTCCCACTGGGCAAAGATTACTGGGTTCTGGACCAAAATAAGGATCTCCAAAGGTCCAAACTCTAAACTGGGCGGTTAAACCAAACTCAAGGCGATATTTTACACTAAACCGAAAACCCACAACACTCTAAATGTAATAAAAGGGAGATCTACACCACAAAAAGATGAACTCTAAACCAAAACGTAACAGCTTATCCAAACGCAAGAAGCTGTTAGCGAAGATGCTAACAGTAGCTTTACCAACATTAAGTTCAAGTTACCAAGTTTAAATAAACCAAAAACACCCAGCAGCAAACAGACCAGCACGGAGGAGAGACTGCTACCACCTAAACAGCTCTCCTCATGTCTGAAAGAAGCTCCTTTATGAAGGGAGAAACGCTCCCGGTGATTTTCTGCATCTGCGGTAGAGACGGAGCAGCGCATGTGACCCCGGAAGTTGTTGTCCGTTGCTGGGAGACGAAGGCGGGCAAAACAGGAAAGGAATCTAGTAGCGGACGGACATTGTTCCGGGTCTTCGGTATTTGGCGGAGATGTTAGTGAAGGCGGAGAAGAGGGCGAACTAGAGGAAAAACAGGCAGATTCCACCTCTATTTACAAACTCCTGGGGATGCAGCAAGTGGGCGCGGTGCGTCGACTTCCGGATCTGACGTCGACGAATTTTTAAAATTGAGTCGTCGACGTCATCGACGCTTCGCTACAGCTCTATTAATGAACATTTGCATGCGTGCACCCAAAGTTTCAAACGTTAGCTGCAAATGCAAACTTCTCCCACTGAAGTAAGTGCCAGTGATGTTTTGCAATAAGGTGCGAGTTACATTGTGTTGTGGGTCAAAAATATTTTCTGCACTGTTTAAAGCAGTTGCTATTTTTTCTGAATAGTGTTTTCATTTTTAGGTGAATTGTTCGCACTTGAAAATTGATTTATCTGTAAAGAAATGTCATCATTTCAATGTCAAATAGTTTCTTTCCTTTAATGTTAATACCTCAACTGAATTGCACTTTTCTACTCAGCAGATGATTAATTGGGCACCAATAATTATTTACACCGTGACTGTCAAGAATATTTTCTGCACAATTTAAAACACTATTGATTTTTTTCAGGAAATACTTTGAATTTTAGGTGACTTGGTTGCATCTTTAATGCTGGTTAAGGTACGGTGGATATCGTTATTTCATTTTCTAATAGTTTTTCTCTTTATTATTAGAACTTGAACTAGATTGCACTTTTCTGCTCTGCAGATGATTAAGTGAGCATATGGAAAATTGATGATACATTGTGGTGTTTTTCAATTTTTTTCTGTGCAACTTAAAGGACTTAGTTTTCCAGACTGTACTTTAGGTTTTAGGTGAATTGTTTCACCTTAATGTTGATTTGTGTGCAATATAATTTCAATGTCACCTGTTTTTTTCCTTATCAGTACTTCCAGTAGATGGTATTTTCAGCTAGCCAGATGACTTAATGAGCGTATGAATAATTGTTCTAAGTTGAGACAAAAATCTATATTGTTAATCACATGTTGAATAAAACTGAAAGAAAAAAAATTGGTCGATTGATTTTAAATCTTCGGATCCAGGATAAATGTGGTGATGGAGGTAGTGGACCTCTTGCTGTTTGGTTGGGGACCCCTGCGCTAGATCAAACACTAACAACTGTTGAGTTTCTGTCTGATGGCTCAACTAAAGTCACGTCCAGCATGGCAGCAAGTCGTGGAGCCAAACCAAGGAAAGGAGGTGTGATATCAGCAGGAGGCTGGTGAGCTGGGAGCTGAAAAGGCCCTAAAGGGTTTTGTTTATGGTAAATATGAAGATGTTGACATTTAATAGTTAGAAGCCAAGAGACTGAATGCATTTTAGATGATGTCAGATGTGAAAATCAACCAAAAAATAATTAAACTCACATCTAGAAGCACATGTCAGTATCGGCAATAAAAAAAACATCAGTCGACCTCCTTTTTTGACTAATGTAGACACACACACACACACACACACACACACACACACACACACACACACACACACACACACACACACACACACACACACACACACACACACACACACACACACCAGTACCTGTGTCCATGCTGATGGATGATCCTGAAGTGGTAGCAGGTTTTCTTTAGCCGTGTTTAGCTAACAGCTGCAATAGAAACAAAGCAGGAGAGCTGATTAAGATGCTGCTTCAGAACAACGCAGGAGATTAAAGATCCAACGCTTTGGTTCTGGCCAAAGGAACAGCAGCAGATCCAGAGGGCAGGAAGTCTAGAGAAAAGCTTTTCTCACCCACAACCTGATCCTGGAGCTCCGATTGTCACGAAGACCGCAGAATATCTTCTCTGCTTCTGGAAAGAACTCCACCAAGTTGTTGAGGAGGAGAAGAAAGTTTCCACAGCCTGGTGAGAAGATTTCTGCAGCAGCAGCAGTTAGTCGCTTTAGCTGATCAACTCTCCCAGAGACTGAAGTGAAGACGTTTTTACTGCAGAGCCTCAAATGTTCTCCTCACACACCACAACAACAAGCTAGCTCCGCTAGCAGCTTTCGGTTTCTGCTTCTTCCGGTGGTGTGTAACCAGTGTAAAGGTGCACTACCGCCGCCTGCTGGACTGGAGGCGCACTTAGCAATGACGATGCTGTCGTGTGCCCGTCCCATTTACCGGTTCCTTTAAAACCCAGTTCCGTTAGAACTTATGAGACGGTGCATCCATCAGGGTTCGGGGGTGTATCGACGAGTATAATCGTACCAGACCCGGGTTTGGACTACCTAATTAGAATCTTGTCTTTTATTTTAAAGGTGAAATGACTTGCACGAATAGCCAGCCTCAGAGTGCTACACTTCTTTTAAACTCGTTACCTTTTGGTTAAGATACTAGAGAGAAGTCTGGAGGCAAGCCAAGCCTCTCAGCAATTGTTTGGGCTACCCGGAATTAATTGCGCCCCTAACAGCTTATGTGGGAGGTTGGTAACTATAAAATGATTTATGCTAGTTGATCAGGCTAACATAAGTTTATCAATTTATTTATTAATCCAACCTTCCAGCTGATTAGAGACTTTTTCAACCTGCAATCAGAGCCAAAATAACCTCGAATATTTTGCTTTTATCACCCTTAAGACAACTCGTTACTCGCAAGGGGAGAGAAATTAAAACTTCCCTTATCTTAAGGTTTCTTTATATTATTCTGTTATAAACTGTAAAGTAAGTCCTGATAATTCAGAGTCCGATCTTCGACATGCTTACCTCTGTGCAATTATGGCCAGGGCTCCAAACGTGAAGCTTTAGAGAAAACCTGAAAGAATCAGGATTATGTTTCTTTTTCAAAAAAGGTTTATTACAAAATCAAAATACAAAAATGGGTAAAGTGAAAAACAACTACTATCCCCCACTGAGGAATTAGTTCAAAATGAATAAATAAGAGTCAGTTTACACCAGCTCTTGTCTTCTCAGAATCTCCCCAAGAACTGAAGAACAAGACCCCCGCTCGATCTGAGTTGCATCCTTTTATATCATTTCTGAGACTGCTCTAAACAATGCAAGAGTCACAAGTCATTCTCTCCTGACAGTTTAGGTCAAGGGGTCATCTACCAGATACACTTTTTTAGCTCTACATAAGACATTTAGTATCATTTCACTACATGCAGTATTCACATGAGGGCACAAAAGTTACATTCTGCACTCCTGGAATGAGAGCACAGGTCATAAATCTTCATATTGGTAGCAAATTGTAGATCTTCTTCCAGCATTCCTGAGAGCTCCTGGGTCCAGCTGGACCTCTCCTCACTCCATGCCATTCCTTCTTTTCCCGCCAGAGGTGGAGTTAGGGGCAGGCCCAGGGGTGTGTCCATGGGTGGATCTAGAGAAGACAGCTTGTCTTTTGACCCTTTGCCTAGTTCTGTCCTCACCAGCAAGTCCTGAACTCCTGTCCTCTTGACCCTTGTGTGACCCTTGTCTCTGACCACTGTTTCTAAGCCTTGACTGGTTGCTCGGGCTTGCAACATCCCCCATGAGGACGTACTGAGGCAAAGGACCATAAAAAGATAGAGCAGCAATGCAAGCTTTCATAAATCTAGCATCCATCTCACTCAGGAACGGCTGAACACTCAGACACCTAACTGTGGCCTCCACATCAACCCTCATTCTCATCATAATGCCATCATCAGCTACGGGTAAGCACAAGGTCCCTCTGCGGGTTGTTACATAACCTTTAAACTGCTTTCTCCCATCTGTGGGATCTTCGCCCAGAAAGAATAAAGCTAAATCCATCACCGGAGCTTCTCCACGTGGAAGCGATCCCATCATTTGAGGTGGGAAGCTGGCGCTGAAAACCAAAACATGATTTTTCGTATCCAACAAAGGTGCGGTCCCGAAAGAGTCACAGACTTCTGGGCCGAACCATCCAGTCTTTACAGACAAAATATTCATAAACTGAAAGCAATCTATAATCTTGCCTTGACAAACAAAGTAACACCCCTTCTGGGATTTAATCCTCCATCTCATTTCTCTCCCAGGTGCAATTCGGACAGGGGAAGGAATGCCTGCTGGCTCACTACTTAGACAGACCATAGGGATTTCACGTATCACATCAGGACAAGGGACGCATGTCGAAGCTGCCGTCATTACTGATACAACCTCTTCGGCCACGTCAGATGAGGGCGCCGTTGTCAGCTCCTCGTCGTGGGCCTGCTCAAGCAGGGCATCTACTCCCGGGGAGGACAACATTAGTATGTCGTCTTCCTGATCAGTCTCCCGCTTGAATCCCTTTTCCATTTGGTTTGGATGTACTGAATAAACCTGCAAGACACGCAGCGTTTATTCATTGTAGCATGTTCACACTGGAGCCCGATTGTCTTAGTCTGAGGCAATCCATCCCTCCCGCGATTCACGGTGCACAAATAGTATGCGCCATTCAGAGAGAAAACAGTTGATGGACCTGCGGAGGGGATTAATCCCTCTATGATATTCTGCCGAATCGAGTCCATCTGGAAGGAACATAAAATTTGTTCCACATGAGATATATAACTCATTCCATGAAGCAATAAGTAACTGCATTACTGCATAAACACTTCTTAATTATAGGAGAAAATAAATAGTTTTACAACAATAATCCTCACAACAAGTGTACACCAGTTATGAAATGTCTACAACATCCTAAAGACAAACTGGATAAAATAGTTACAAAATCCTGACATACCTCCAGATTCAGAGCGTCAATCAGCTCAGATTCAGGGTGAGTTTGATGAGCCATTGGTTCACTTCAAGTTACAGACTGACAGTTAAGGAGCAAGTGACACGCGGTGCAGAGAGGCCTGCACTTAAACAGGAGCAACAAGAAGGGGGGCTAATGCTCCCTCTACCTTGACACCTCTCTTCCCATCTTATCTGGATCTACCAGGTCCTTTCTCCTTTCTCCTAACAGCTTTCTTCCTGTCAACTGCCATTTGTTGTTTTTACAGGCCAAAATCATACCGATTATTAAAATAATCACCCCACACATTAATCCGAGAGCGCAGAGAGGCCAGAACAGAGCGTCCCAGACAGGCCTAATGATGTGCTCTCTCACTCCTTTTACCAACATGCCCATTGAATCAGAAGTTCCTTGAATTACATTGTTAGAAACCTGCACTACACTGTCACTCATAATTTCATTCACACCACGTACTATCAGACTCACATGACGTAATGTGCCATTTATGCCATATGCAAAATAATCAAACCAGTCAGCTTTTTGCTGATCTAACGATCTTCGAAATGGTGAGCAAAAACCACTTCTCAGATCCCAATTTGGGAAATTTCTGAAGTTAGGAAACTCTTTGGGTGCATCAGGGTCAATTGTGAATCTTTCAGGTTGAGGATTTTTCCCTATTCTCGGTTCATTAAAACACACATGATGGTCTATGCCTAACCCGTTAAGGTAATTGAAATTGACCAGACTAAACGCTCCCCATTTCGTCGTTCCTGGCGCTGTAAATCCAGGTGGCACTAAGTCTCCAACTTTATCATTCATAATCATTATACGATCTAAAAGACCATTTCCTGTTTTTGTATCATTTACTTCCCAAGTATTTGTTTTATCAATAGAAAACCAATTTGTTTTAACTCGAAGTTGACCATGTTCCATCACAAGAGTTTTAGTTCCCACTAATTTTCTTTCAAAGGTTTCTGCTTCAATCCTTGTGTCCTGGGGGTAATAATCATATTTTTGCTTATTATATCCCTCTCCATACCAGTATGTCATAGGATATGTCTCGTACATTCCTTTTCTATAATATCTATAATCTTCTGGAATATCTCTTTGCATATAACCACGTAAGACTTTATAGCATAATTCTCCAGTTCCTAAAGTAGCTATGTTTAGATAAGGAGGCCTAGGTTTAAAAAACTCTCGATCTCCTAATGTGTCTGGACGCAGACCTCCAACTGTTAATCCATATAGTTGTGAATACCAAAAAATACACATCCTTCTAGTTAACCCTTTAGTATTATTACAGACTTCCACCTGACATCCTTCAAGCATTAAGGTGTAATTTCTAGCCCATGTGGGACTGTGATAAAAATCTTTCTTATGGGTTGGTCTAATCATTTCATTTACTGCTTCGAAGATGGAGTCTGCCTCAATTATACTATCAGGAGTAGCTGTACCTTTTTGATAATATGCTCCTGCGATCCTTATTCTAAGTGGCTCGCCTCCTTGCCATACAGCGCTATTATTCGCTTTCCTGGTTAAACAGAGTCTAGTTTCTTCATTCCATGCATGAAATCCTGTATCTAAGTTAGCGGGATCAGATTGATCCTTTTTCATCCATTGCACTACTTTTGGGTGCTTAAAATTAGGAACCTCATAAACCCATTCTGTATAAAGAGTGTGTCGTATTGGATGCAGTTCCCATCCTTGAGGCTAAAGGCCTACCTCATTATGGAGGCAGAAAAATGTCCAGTTAAAATATGTACTATTAGTGGGAAGTATATAATTCTGATATCCTGTGTAGTTTGCATATTCACTATGACCTTTACGTAAGAGTCGAGCTAATTCTGAAGTAGATCTCTTACCCCGCACACCGGGCTCTAGAAAGAGAGGAACGGTCTCTTCACCTTCCTCTGCCTCAGCCAGGGGATCAGACACTGCAGGGGGTACTTTTGATAACCATTTAATCACATTATCTTTTACTTTCTGCCACATGTGACTCTCTCCTATCATGGACAAGGAATCATATTTTAGTGTTGTGTTAGGAGGGGGGGTCGGGCAAACATCTCTTCGTTCCCTCCCTCTTGATAATCTTTGATACCAATGCGTAATATTTCCTGTTTGCCAGGAACTTAAACTACTGTCTTTAGTCTGAAAACACCCAAATTCGATTCTACGAGGCCACCATCTTTCTATCTTTATCACTTTGAAAGTGGTAAAGTTGTGTCCCCATTCTAAATCATTTCTAAGGCAATATTTGTAAACCCACAACTCTACTTCACCTGAAGTTTGATTTAAGATTTTCTTTTTCCTTAATATTATCTGACAAGATCGATCAAGCTCTGTGGATCCTGTCTGATCCATTAAGACTGCCATATACTCCG